GAACTACAAAGAAAGTGGTCCGAGAGTATTGAAGGTGGTCCTTCAGTCAAAACATATGGTAGCACGGATGTTAAAATGCTGGTAAATGTTCCGTTGCAAGTTACCATCTGAGGTTCGGCTGAAGACAATCAGCTATATGCATCCTAGATATGATACGTCACTCAGAGAACCAAACGCGATGGGATCTATGAAAGTACAATGCACCAGTAGTGTGCCGAACGAGCCCGTACAACCTGGAGAATATGATATTGACCAGACACATTACACCGTATCTCAAAGATTAGACACTGGACTAACTACACGGACGATGAATACAACGTTAAACCCTTCACCAAGTACACATCAAAGAAACGATTAGTCGTCGGTTACTCACTGGTCGGCGGAACTTCACATATGAGTTGTAGAACCTCAGAAACATTGCTCAAACCTGAGAAACCTTCATGTATGTACACTAACGCCCAAGGGCTCCTCAGTAAAATTACCGAACTTCGACTACGTCAGGTTGCGAATGCTTGGGACCTAATTTCTACTACCCAAACTTGGTTACACCAAGATGTGACTGGTGCTGAGGTTGAAATCGTCGGAATATCACTCCTCCGGAGCGACCGCCCCAGCAGAAGAGGTGGGGTCCTACTTTACTACCGCAGCGATATACAATGTATAGTAGTTGATGACCTGAAAACACACGTTACCGACTCACTCTGGTGCCGTCTCCGACTAAGACACAATGACGCATGTCTGGTAGCTGTCCTTTACCGCCCCCCAACGTCCACTCCGGAAATGGATTCCCGCTTGATCCGTGGCCAGAACAGAGTAACGCGCACTAGGTACAGCCGCATTCTTATTCTCGGGGACTACAATCTACACAATCTGGAGGTTTTGGCATCACCCAGTGAGCATTTCAAAGCAGACCTGCATGAACTGATCGCTAATATTCTTTTGTACAATAATGTCACCACGCCCACTAGATTCAGGAGAGCAAACAAACCGTCCATATTGAACCTTATGCTCACGAATGAAGAGCTCATTGTTGACAAGTTATTGACAGATAGTCCTTTAGGTATCAGTGATTATGTAGTAATAACTTTGACTGTGTTACGCAGAGTATTCATCTGAAGACTCGGAACTAACTCAAACAATCACATGCTATCACGTATTGAAAGAACTCGCCGACGCAGCTGCTTGGGAACTCTCAAACAACAGTCCTCTTGACAAAGTTTGGACAGAGTTCGTTAATAGACTCAGCGACATCGTCAACAGAGCATCAGAGACCAAGCCCCTTCGTCCTGCGAAAATGCCTTCAATTCTAAGGAGCAGGACTCGAAAATGCCTGGCGATAAGGGATGCAGCATGGCGTGCCTACAAGATTAACCCCGACTCAGAGACTTGGGGCAATTTCCTGACCCATCGCAACCATTGCACTGCACTTGTCCGTGAGGACAAAGTAACTTATCAACAGTGCCTAGCCAAAAAGTTCACGGCGAACAACAAACTACTTTATAGGCATGTCTATAAGCTTCGCGAAGTGAAGCATGGAATCCCTCCACTTTTCACGACAGGCGGTAGAGTACTAAGTGCTGACGAAGCAGCTAATGTCCTGCGGCTATAATACGCCCCCGTTTTCGAAAACGCAGCCTCTACCTGTCCCATAATATCATGCACATTACCGACTCTACAATTCACACACTTAATTTTCAACCCATCAATTGTGCTGAGGAAAATACGCTCACTGCGTGAGCATAGTCCTCCGGGAGCAGACAATATCTGCATGAAGGCACTGAAGGCTGTGGCCAACCAGCTAGTTGAACCACTGTCACAGTTCTTTCAAAGGTGCTTTGATGAACAACAAGTCCCAACTATGTGGAAGTGTGGCATTATAACCGCTATTTATAAAGGCAGTAGCCATTCCGATCCTGCAAACTATCGTCCAGTGACTCTCCTCCCTGTGCTCGCGAAGGTGATGGAAGCAGTCGTCGCTGAGGCTTTAATGGACTACCAGGAAAATTGCAACATCTTGGTACCGGAACAGTATGGCTTCCGGCAACACCGATCATGCACCACCAACCTACTTACTACACGAGGTAGTTGGACGGAAGTGGCAGATAATGGGGTCGGAGTTGACGTCATCCATCTGGACTTCTCCAAAGCTTTCGACCGCCTGGATCACCGCATCCTACTTCAACGGCTACAGAGCAACGGAATCGGAGATCCTGTACTTAGTTGGATGGGCAGGTTCCTTCATCAACCGAAGCATCAAGTACGTGTTAGGGGGTCACTATCTAATCCAATTAAGGTGGAATGTTGAGTCCCAAAATGCTCATTGCTGGGACCGGGCTTATTCCTGGTGTTTATCAACGACCTGACAAGAGTTATCCCTTCAAATTCCCTGCTTTTCGCTAATGACGTCAAGCTATGGCGGGCCATTAGTAACAATAAAGATCATCATCTATTCCATGATCTAGCTTGCATTTTTAAATGGTCAAAGAGGAACCTGCTTCTAATGAACATAGCTAAGTGCAAGGTGATACATCTGCGTCACCAGCCGGTGAGCGCTTACAAGCTTGGAGACCACATCTTGGAGAAGGTCTCTCAGGAGCGTGACCTGGGTGTATTGGTACAGGAAGATCTCGGGTGTTCGAAACAAGAAAAGAAAGCGACGAGAACCGGCAATCGACACTTCGGGCTTCCTCGCAGAGCCTTCTTTTGGTTTGAACCCTCAATCTTACCCCAAATGCTTAACGCCTACGTGCGGTCGCACGTGGAATATGTTATTTAAGTGTGGAAGCCATGGCAGAAACAGGATATCGTTGCTCTCGAGAATCCTCAACGAAGGGCAACTAAGAACGTCAGCGGTCTCTTTCATACGCCCTATATGCTTAGACGGAAATCTCTCAGGAGGTACAGCAGTCGCAATCAGCTTTTGCGGGGGATCTCATAATGGTTTACTAGATTCTGAAGAACCCAAATCACATTTGCCTTTCACTGCTGGAACTGAACCACACCACTAACCCAAGAGGTCCTTTTCTGAAACTGACAACACAGTATAGCCGGTTTGAATGCCGGAAAAAATTTCTTTTCCTATTGATGTGCCAACTTGGAACGACCTCCCTACTTATGTTGTCGTTGCTCCCAATATGGCAAAGTATAAAAAACGAGTTGATGATGCGTTGTCTCAGTTATATTTCATTTTATGTATTGATAGCCAGAGGCTACAAAACGCAATCAAACGGTGTCTTGCCAAACTCCCAACCATTGGATTTATGCATTTATACGTTTAATACGCAAACAACTCCGCTATTCTACATAAGTATATGGTGAGTCTACCAAAACGCTTTTCACTTTGTCATGAAAGTTAAGTTTTGCAATAAATTCGGTCCCGCGGGACCAAGAAAACAAGGCTTTTTTACCCGAAATAAACCATTGTTCCATCTTTCCGCTGTACTGTCCAAGTTAATGAAATTCATTACTGTCGATTCCTTGGAGTTTTGTCTAGAAATAACAACCTTTTCGCACCCGATCAACACGGCTTTCGTCGATTGCGATAGTGCAAAACGAATTCATTAATTGTATGTAGTAGCTGGACCAGGTCAGCTTATGCTGCAGAGGCAATCGAGATGATCAACTTGTGTTTGTTGAAAGCAATCTATCATTTGGATCCTGTTGTTATCTTTTCCATACTCCAGTATTACCAGAACGAGGACCCTATCTTGTGTTAGATTGCCGACATTCTCCCGCAACGAAAATTAGTGGTCAGATAACGGAGTTCCCTATCTGACTCCATGGCACTTAGGTTTGATGCTGGACGGTTTAGTACTAGGGCCAAGATTGATTGTAGTGTTTAATGGCTACCTGACATAGACAATCGATACAAAGTGTCCATAGTTTGCTGAGGACATCAAGAGATGGCATAGGATTCTTGTGTATGCCGGTCACAATTTATTTCAATCTAACCTAGATATGATATATCAGTGGTCAACCCAAAATCTGCTACAGTTCAGCTTGAGCTCATTCAAGGTACAATGCATACGATCCAGAGTACCTATTCCTGCATGGTCGGAAAGCATGTAATGCGCAATCATCGGTCGAATTTGAACTTGACGTGGTGGTTCAGGTTAAGTTGGGCATCGGAAACTAGTAAACAAGACGTTGAGCTTTTACGAAGTGCGTTGGTACAAATATTGGCTCCTGTTTTCGGACGGATGCACATTACGTCTGTTTGACAACAATTCCTATACGCTGTTCCAATTCACATGGCCCTTCACATGATGGACGTTGATGCTGAACTGCTACTTCACCTTCCCTCTCTGCACACTGCCGCAGACAATAGTTATTCATCGATGAATTTGCAGGAAGTCGGTACGAGTAACTACGCGACGCTCCTAGTGCACTTTATTTTGTTTACGTTTTGTAGGCCTCAATTTTTATTGCGATATTAAAGCAGTCACTTTTAGGGTCAGATATTTTTGAATACGATAATATGCATATAAACACGCAATTGCCCCTGTAGTTATATCGTTCATTGATTATGTTTATATGTATACGTCTTGCAGTATATACTAAAACTAATACTTTACGTATGTAAAATAAGATCAGCAGTTTGCTTATAAAGATATATGGGGGAATATGTTAATACAAATTTGCGGACACCATATTACCTTTCCTTGAGGCGAAGGGGCTGCTTGCTTGATTACAATGACGTCGCGGATATTTACATTGTATATAATGAAACTAGCAGGAATGCTATTTAAAGATTACTTATAAAAGCACGCGGAAGCTTTTGTTGAATGACGAATCCTTTTTTCGAATTATGGATACCTCGATTTCACTCGACAGGTTTCAATGGGTGTGCATTCCCGTTGCTTTGCGTCCAATCGATACATCAGATACAAAGATGGTCTTCACATTTTGCGTCAACTAATAACCCCCTATATAATGTGCAACATAAAAGCATGTTAGGGGAAAACACGAGTACATGGGAAAAGCGGATGTTGATGACTTACCGGCAAATCCATGTAAATATCCTCATCATCATCTTTGTCCTTAACCTGTGCAGCAGCGGAATATTTGTAAGATATTTCCTCAGAAACAGCATAAATATAGTGAATACGCAAACAGCAGATATGAGCAGAAATATGCTACAATATTGCATAAACTAACCTTAACATGTCAACCATGAATTTCGATATCTTTATGAATTTGTCTCCCTAAAACAACCTGGCTTCTTAATGTTCCAAATGCAAACTAGACATCGGCTGAGAACGCATTGTTTGAGATGGCTAAAACCGGCCACACGCGTTACGACACGAATGGCGTAGGTTAAAGTCCAGTAGGATAACTTGAACTGTGATACAATCTCACAAATAAAACGTAAGATGTGACACTGGAAGTAGGATCCTAAATTTACCGTCGCATCGGAAACACACATCAGGAGATACAACTGACATAATTATTGGATATCAAGTAACATATATTAACTGGCTTTAGTGTAACGCTCCAAATCAACAATGTTGGCTTGGGCGCATCCTTGTTTCATTTCGCAGCTACCCTGGTTGTTATTTTTGTACGGTTTAACGGACGCATAGATAGCATATTGTTACAACTAGTCAAACGCAAAAGTCATTTCAGAATTCAAACTAGGAATGAGTTGTGGTGCCGACTAATATCCAGATCACAAAATGCTCATCAATTCGGTTCACAAATGATAATCGGCCAGAATGCGATAACAAATGGGGGCGTCATTCCGTGGAAACACAACCGGCCAAGCATGTAAATGGAACAGTTGTGTTCAGCCACGCGTAAACTGAATCGATCGTCTGCCTGATCAATCAGTCCGCTGAAAGCATGGTGTGCGGAGGGCAGCACTGCGCACAATACACCAGGCAATGTGAGACTCCAAACGCTACATTTCGAGCTGCGAGAATTTGAACGAATGCAAATCCACAGAAATTGAGAATCTAAACATACACTACGTATCAACGAGTGAAACTGGTCAAACGTTAAATGCATAAGGGCCGCCTTGAGTTACACGCTAACTGCGACTAATCCACACTGTTGTGCAAGCTGCGATCCATTCTCGATGTAACAGTTTAGTTGAGTGAGCAAAACTGTTCAGTCACCTGATAATTATACTTTAAATTCTGGTGTTCCCGCAGCCAAGTATAGGTAACTAACGAACGCGCAGTAGATTAACACATGTCATTTGTGAGGATGGAAAATGAGGCTGCGACTAGTTAGTTCGTGCTTACCAATTACATACTGGATTAATTTGTGGTGTAGTCATATAGGTTATTCTGATTGTTACGGAAGAAAACACAAATCATTATATAGGAGGATCACAAGCGATTCATCTATTAGGTCAATTCTGAATCAAAGGTTGATCATTAACAGTGCATTTTAATGGCATAAGGTAGCCTTAGGTTAACCAACTGCCTCAGTATGATCTGAGGCATACTCTCCATCAACTGCATGGCATGTCTTAGTTGTGTTCTGCGAGATAAACCAACTAATCCCATGGTCCAAATTTGCTTATCTGCTAAGCCGTCTAGTGGAGCTGACATACATGCACGATAAGATGCGCAATAAGTCGTTCCGTTGCCAGCATTGATATATGCGGTACACCTGAACTGGCAAGAAGCTACCACGATTATTGAATACAGGCATTATCATATATTAGGCGGTGAAATGTTTCTCCCCAGTCTGTGGTTATCCAAATACTTTTTGGAACTTGCTCGCAACTGTAGCGGGGTTGCTGGTCAGTGTATCTACAGTATAATTACATTCTTTTTAGTGCGTGCCGCTCAACCACAAGTGTGTTGCATGCAGGATGTTCAAATCAACAATGTCGCCAATAAGCCGATAGCGTCTTTGCGATCAATTTGCCTTCGAGATCTGCTATCAGCTCACGCCTGCAGGAGATTTGAATTAACGTATATTCTAACGTGCTTTTCTTTGCACACTTAGTTACTGGTGACCGAGCTGCTCATGTTTAGTGACTGAGAATGGTGCATCAGCAAAGTGCCACTGGGCTGCCAGCGACAATGATTATCGCGAGAACGCTGGCACTAAAGATGCAAACTCATCAACTTTACACTCATATTCGGAATGGCAAATTTGACTAGAAATAATGACTAGCCTCTCACTGTCTTAAGTACCAAGACCACATCATTTTTAACACGGACTATTGTACCGATATTGATTTGATAGCTGTTTATGTAATTTGTGATATAGACGACGAAGCATGAGTAGCAAATTCGAAGCAATGTGCACATGTGGACGCATGCAGCGAACCTACAGGGAAAGCAATTTTGAACCAGTGTCTCAAATGCAACAACACACAAAAGCCACCAAAATGAAGGACGTGTGAGTATTTAGACTTGTGTAGCAGTTGATGAGGCACAATATTTGGCAAAGGTTTGTTGCTAGCACGTTAACTCATGCAAGAGCATCTCCCCGCGGCCGCAGATCAAGTTCGTAAGGTAAATATTTTTGAACGCTTACAATACCACGCACCGTACGAACTGCCACGTGAAATAAGACGGGCTGCGTTGCACAAAGTCACACGCGCACACATGGTATGACAAGATGCGCAACAGTTTGAGTAGACAATGGTTGATGGTGAATTTAGCATTATCAGTCCCTCAGCATTCGCAAGGAAACTGAATATATATACTGGTTACCAAATGCAGAACAACGAGATGAAAAAACTCACATTCATGAATGAAGACCTTGTGGTTGTCGCAGCTGAACTACTTGACTTGTCCAGTTATCAGCCTCAGTACAGATGTGGTGTGAAGTGCCTTAATTTTTATGTTTGATGCACTAAACCGCAGCTTGTACGCGGAACAAATTTCCTGCATTGTCAGCTGAGTGGTTCTAGTTAACCTTTTCCTAGCGAATAGTACTTTACCAGTGCTTCAAGAAGTAGTGGTTTTTCGCTTGTGGCTTGATATAATCTAAAGCTATATTGGTCTATTAAACAACATAGCGATAGGGTGAGTGTGACTAGCCACTAAATATATCCACTGCCACTTGCCTACTTCATGGACGTCAATTATCCATACCGGAGAATGCACATAATCTATTTTACACAGGCTGACCGGATAATGCGTAATCGCAGATACAGAGTTAAACAAACCTATTCAAACGTGTTAGGCGACAGCAAATTCAGAATTTGCCTGTCACCTTGGCCTCCGTAGTACAACCTCAGGACGCCTGCGCATAGGGAAAAGATTAGTGGCTTCGCAGCACCACCCACAGTTCCATTCACACAATTCATTTCTAGTGTAAACCAAAATGAATAAAATCGGGTGGCATGTGGATGGGAGCCATCTCATCAGTGGAGCCTACAGACTTTTAACAAGCAGAGCAGAAGGATTCATGACTAGATGGGAAAAAATGCGCGCCAGACCTACACAAGCCAGCGCCTTAACCATAGCCCGTTCCACAATGGCTGTAAGGAACCAGTGATTCTAACAAGGTCACAAAGACCGTACACCCCTTCTCATCCAAAAACTGCCATCTGTCTCCTAGATACTCTATAATCGAAGAATAGAGTAATAAACTGGCAGGCAACTTGCAACATTCATGTGTATTACAGCCAGACCGGGGATGTCAAGCAGCCGCCAATCACTTGGAATGACATCATATGAAATTATTAGAATAAAGCTTGCGGGTTTGTTGACATAACTGTTTGTTGAATTGGCATTCGAAATTATCGGGTAAACAACAAATCCACGCCAAATTCCAGATGTCAAAGCAAGAGATCAAAAATGAATTAAATGGAAAAAAAGTGTGAAGTTAATAACTTTTCATTTAAAAGACGTGTGCAAGTAAATGTGAGATTATTCATGTAGGCGTCACAGTGAGGCAACAAAATAAGCCTTAAAACCATATAGCAAACCGATCATAAGAAAAATGCCACACAAAAGCCAAGCACGAGTTTACTGCTTCGTATGGAAGCTCATGCAGTGTACTTAGCAACACTGCGTTGGTTCTGCTTACATTCTCAGCAAGACCGGTCATCGATTCGATGCTGGACCCGAGCAATCTTGCTTGTGACTTACTAGACCTGCCTAACGCAGGCACTCTCGACCGCATGTGCTACAGCATCATGCACTCTACGTCGATGGAGCAAACTCCATCGACACGTGTCTCTTCCGCAACTGCCACTTCTTCACATGCACGTGGGCTTTCTACTGCACATCAGAAACTGCTTTAGTGGTGAATCGCACTATGCACGTCGAGCAACCACTTTCGATTCCTAACACCTGAAGTTAATATTAGAAGGTGATAGGCTCAGTTGTCCCAGCAGCAGGATGCAATCCACTGCATACATTTCACATCGGAGCAACACCTCCGAATCTGCACCTACCGATGCGCAGAATTCCTTGAAGACACTGTAGATGAAACCGCACGAGATATCGCACATATCACCATTATATTCTCCACGTTTCTTTGCCATTTAGTAGAACGAACAGCGCCACGGATGTGCTTATCATCAGCTTCGTGCCAACTGCAAGCTGGTGATTGATCCACACTCGGTGCTCTAGCTTTGCGAATGCCGCCGCTGCCTAAGATACGCAGATACGCAGCTCACTGTTTATCCACTGATGATTCAAAGCAATGCTCCCAAGGTAGAAAAGCGGAAGGTAATGTATAATTCATCATTACCAATGCTGCCTTGCGACACTATTGCAGACTGCACCACCAGTGAAGGCTAAGAGCTACAGACAGACTTGTTTGTATTGCTGGTGAGCCGGAACTTGGCCGCCGTCGAAGCCAGAGCACAATTTATGTGCTGCAACTCATCCGCGTTCTATGTAAACAACGTACAGTTGTCCACGAACATCAACATATAGATAGTTATCTCACGGATTATGGTTCTGGCCCTGAAACAACGGATGTTCAGCAACCCACCATCAATACGGTGCCACATAATTAATGTAATCACAAGCCATAACAAAAGCGCACGATGCGATGCATGAAGATAAATATCAAGCAGGGTAGAAGTTAAGAAACGGACTTGCTTCACACCAGAGACAACTAC